ACACCCATGTGGGAAGCTGGGAAGAAGCTCCCGGCTCCTGACTTTAGTTTGGCCTAGCCCTGGCCGTTGTTTCCATTTGTGGAATGAACCAGCAGATGGAAGATTTTTTTTTCTGTTTGTAGTCATGTTTTTTTCAATAAAGAAATATTTAAAACAGAGTAATGGATAAAAGAAATGAGGTACATACATACAATGGATTATTCTTCATCCTTTAAAAAGAGCAAAAGTCTGCCATTTGTAATATGGGTGAACATGAAGGACATTATGTCAGATCAAGTAAGCCAGGCACAGAAAGAAAAACACTGCATGTTCTTACATATGCAATCTGAAATCATTTAACTCATAGAAGCAGAGGGTCAGCTGATGGTTTGCAAAGGATAGAGGGAATGGAGAGGTGTTACAGTGCGAGTATCAGAAAGGAGGAGTAAGCTTTCAGACGTGTATCATGTAGCATGTGACTATCGCCACTAACAGTGTATTATTTCAAAACTGCAAGGCAAATTTCAAATGTTCACACCAGAAAAAAGTATGAATTTGAGGTGGTGGATATGTTAATTATCTCAATTTTATCATCTCATATGATTACATATATATATATATATACACACATATATGTATATCATCCCTTTTATTCCACAAATATATAGAAGTATAATTTGTTAGAATGTAATAGCACAACTATAAAAATAACTATTTTCTATATAGTGTCAAAACCAGCCATTTTACTCCGTGACCACCATAAGTTAATTGAGATGTGCCTGACAATGCAGGTGTGTGCCAACCTACCCCTAAACACCATGTCCTTTCATCAGGTCTATTCAGACCATGCGTTGCACACGTGCGCCTAGGAGCAGCAAGATTGGCTTCTCTGCGGAAGCCTGTCAGCAGTGTACATGCGGGGGTCCATTCCAGACCAAGTGAAAAACAACCACCGGAGATGGGGCCCAGCGAGGTGTTGTTAAAAGCCCTCCAGCTGCTTCTGGGGCCCATCAGAGCTTGAGAAGCCCTGACTCAGATTGTTTGCTTTCCTGCTGTTTCTTTAACTAAGCAGAAGGTTTGATGATTCAGGCGCTTCCAAAGATTTTGAATCTCTGTTGTGAGCCCAGTTTGCTGGGAAACCAATTAACTGGCAACAAAGTGTTCAGATGCTCACGGGTGTGATTCCGGTCCTGGCGTCCTGCTCATTGCTTGCGGGCTCCACTCTCAAGGGAGGCCTTGTTCTCAGATAACACTGCCTCTGCCGGAAGGCTTCCCAGAGTGTCCCTGTGATGGTCAAATGCTCTCATCAGAAATATGCTAGTTTATCCGAGCAACTACACCTGAATTATACAGATAGGGAGGCAATGAAGCAGGAGGAAAACTGAATTAAGGTTTGCCCTATTTACCTTCAAAATATACCTTAAATCGTCACATCAAAGAGCCATCCCAGGCTGCAGCCTTCAGGGAGTTTGGTGACCCCCAGCAGGATCTCACAACACTTCTTTTCCTCCTGGCATTTTAAGCTGTATTCAAATGGGGATGGCAACTGGTGTGCTGTAAACATTGATGAGAAAGACTACTTGCTTTCCTCAGCCACATCCCCCTAGTGCAGCATGCTGTTCAGAGCAGGTACCCACTGGCAATGTGTGAAGATAATCGATCAACTAGTCATTGGCAGTATCTGTTTCGAGCAACCCTGCGGACAACAGGTTTGTGCCCACATCTGAGCCTTCAAGGGGCTGTTCGCTGCCTTCCACAGAGAGCGCACCTGCCCCCAAAGAGAAGCCGGAACCCTACAACAACATAACCAAGTATCGCTTGCAGGTCCGTTGGCACGTCTGCTCCCCTCAACTACTTTCACTAGGGTTCCCCCGCTCCAATGAGCACCGCTGACCGCCCTCTGCCTCGGCAGCTGGCCCTGGTGGTGGCCCCTGCAGTACAGCTTAGGGCATTGGCCAGAATCCCACCTAACTTCGGTCCTGATGGAGCAAACATAACATTTTCCCAGCCGCCCAGGGCTCAAGGATAACGGAGGTCCCAGAATCCCTTTCGCCACCGCTACTGTTTTTGCTCTCCTCTCCCTTAAACCTCCACATTAACCCCTTTGCATTCACCCATTTCTAACACATAGAATACCTGGTTAGGAGATTCAGGTGGTTTTTCTGGTAAAATATCATGTCTGTCCACATAATTATCTATTGAGCATGTCTCCAATTTGTAGGTTGAACTATAAAGTTACCAATTGTTTAAAAATATCTGCATTTATTGTTACATGACCTTGCCTTTAGGTTTTTGACCAGCGTTTTTTGACCAGTGTCCTTTCTACCGACTCTTACCAGTCATCTTTTGGTTCTTCTCTGAATCTTTAATTGCGTATGTAAGGAGCACAGATTGAAAAAATTACTTTCTAGAGCACAGGTAAAGCTTATATATATATATATAAATAAAACTTGAGTGAACATTATACATATCGAGTATATACTATATGCATTACTGTAATAAAAATAATGAACATACTACCTTCTGGTATCATAGGCTCTTGACTTTCACTTCATTGAAACTGCCTTTGAATTTTTTTGGAAGATTTATCTTTATTTTAAAAGGCAGAATTTCAGAGAGGGAGAAACAGAAATAGGTCATTCATCTGTTGTTTCACTCCCCAAATGGCTGCAACAGCTAGGGCTGGGCCAGGTCAAAGCCAGGAACTTCTTTCCAGTCTCCCATGTGGATGCAAGGGCCCAAGCATCTCTGCTGCATTCCCAAGTGCCTTTGCAGAGAGCTGGGTCAAAAGTGGAGCAGCTGAGATTTGATCCAGTGCCCATATGAGATGCATGCATCACAGACAGCAGCGTAACCAGCTACATCACAGCACCGCCCCCCCCCCAACTCAGTTCTTTGAAAACTAAGCAAACCTTAATTTGTTTAGCACACTATGGGGCTCACTTTACTGATTTTCTCACTAGCTCATGACAAAGTAGTGCTACCTTGTGCCAACTTGATTGTAAAAACAGGCTTAAATACATGTGTTAATTATTGTGACAGCAGCTAGCCATCAGGAGATCATCCAGATAACTCCAGAAATTGTTCAAAATTAAATGCAAAAATAAACATACTTGTAGAAAACTTGCAGACTCTATTATTTAGGTTCTGGTTTGAAAACACCTGCTTCTAAGAATATGTGTAAAATATGTGTATATTTAGACTGTTTTGTTATCTTATGAACAAATGCTGGTGCTATCGTCAGAGTACCTACATTATCATGCACTACATGACTCCTGTTTCACTTAGACAATTGAGACTCTTCCTTGCGAACATGAAGACACGACCACTTCCGCCTCAGTCCTGTGGGATGGTGCTTGGGGATCCTAGGCCAAACCATCCCCTTCTTCAGATCTACAATTCTTAGTGATAAATGTTGATTTTGGTAACCACATTCACACTGCAACACACCTTCTTACAATCTAAATGAAAGAAAGCAGACCTAATCACAGCCAGGCAATCAAGGAACAGAAGCACATAACACAGATGATCCTCTTTGCAGCTTCCGTATCCTAAATGCAGACAGAAAATATTTGAAAACGAATTGCATCTGTAATTGAATGTGCATAAATTTTCTTTTTCTTGTCTTTGGTCACTAAACAATACAGGATAACAAATATTTACATAGTATTTGCATTTTGTGAATTAGTATAAATAATCTAAGCATGATTGATTGTGTCAGAGGTTGCACATAGGTTGTGTATAAACAGTATGCCATTTTGTATGAAAGACAAGAACATTTACAGATGTTTGTCCTTTCAGGGAGTCCCGGAACCAATGTCATGTGGATGCTGAGGGACAACTGCATACATGAATTTGAAAGTAGTCATTGAAGAATTGTTTTCGTTGTAAGTTGCACTGATAGGCCAGGGTAGTTAACACCAAATGGGGTTGGTTTGTGTGACAACTCTTTGCTTCTTCCCTGTTTCCTCCCTTTCTCCTGAATTTTTGCTCCTTCTTTCCTCCTATTGCTCAAAGATCAATGTTATGAATTTTTTCTATGAAGCTGAATATATTGAATCCAAAGAACACTGTTAATAAAAAAGCAACAACCTTGTAAGTTTACATGAAAATATGCTTCATTTTATAAAACAGTAGTTTCATTTTAAAAATGTTCTTCACTTGGCGAAGTAAAAAAAAAAAAATTGACATATTGGGTTTGCGTCCAGATACAACTTAAAACTTTTACAACTTTAAAATCTGGACTTGTGTGTCTAGAATACAAAGAAGTGATACGAAGAAAGAACAGAACATACTGCTTTGTAAGTTAGATTATGTTTAACAAGTTAAACTCCTCAACTTATTTCAGGGGGTGGTCGGAGGGTTATGGGATGGGGGTACAGGGAGAGCTTAAATCCCCTGTGGAAGGCTTCCAACAAATGGAAATGCTTGAGCTGGAGCTTTGAGGATTGGCAGCGGAGGAATGACAAGGCATTCCAATCCGAATGCATAATGCCAGCGAAAGCACAGAGTACCAAAGAACACTGCGTGTCCAGCAGCTCCCAGTAGCCCCGTGGTTGTAGTGTAACGTCTTGGAGTTAGATGTCAAAAGGTGAGGCACGGGGCTATCTTTGTACTTGGCTCAGTTTCCCCAGACAGCTCCCTGCACAGTGCCGGGCGCACAAACTGCAGGGGAGCTCAATAAATACTTGTTCAATTGAGACAGAGTGATCCACTGTGCTGGGAACTATTCTTTCACACACATTCGCTGTATGACCTTGGTCAAGTCCCTTTGTCGGGGCTGGGGCTGCTGCTTAGTCATCGGAAACGAGTGAGAAAGCCTGGGAGGAGTTTGACCGGAGGTGCCCAGCACTTCCAGCGCCCCAGAATCGCTGAGTCGCTACGTGAAGGGCGAGACTTGGGCCGGGCAGGGCTGCGGCGCAAGAAGGTTCAGTTCCTCCTCCGCTCCAGCAGGGGGCGCAGAGAACGGTTCTCAGCCGCCTTTCCTCGCCAGCCCGGCGCCGGGAGGACTGCAGCGCAGTGGGCGGGGCGGGCCGGACAGGGCGGGGCGGCTGTGACGGGCTAGGGCGGGCAGTGGCGGCCGCGGCGGCGACTGCAGAGGCCACTGTGGCGCGGACCGGGTGGCCGACGCGGTGTTTGTTTCACCTAGCAGCGTCTTTGAGCGGCCTCGCACAGTCCCGGCAGCGTCCGGCCCGGGGTCCTCAGCCTGCGCGAGAGCTGCGGCGCACAAACCCGGGATCGGCGGCGATACCCGGCAGGTCAGAGTGGGGGCAGGGGCGGTGCGCGGGAGAAGCTCTGAGCCAGAGGGAGAGCCCGAGCCAGGCCATCTCTAACCATGTCCGACGAGGCATCGGCTACCACTTCGTACGAGAAGTTTCTAACCCCCGAGGAACCCTTCCCGCTCTTGGGACCCCCTCGCGGGGCGAGCACCTGCCCCAGCGAGGAGCCGGGCTGCTTGGACATCAGCGACTTCGGTTGCCAGCTGTCCTCTTGCCACCGCACCGACCCGCTCCACCGCTTCCATACCAACAGGTATGAACCCCCGTTTAGGGGGAGATTAGGTTTCCCACACCCCTACTTCTGGCTGGGGGACACAAGGATGCCCTTATCCTTTTCCCCCCTTCTGTTCCCGGTCCTTCCCCAGGCTCGTGTTTCTGATCGCCCCCTCCCCCAACCTTCCTTGGACCAGAGCTCATTCCCGGGCTCCTTCGCTTTCCCCCCTTCTGTTCTCTCCTGCCCTCCGCTTTTCCTTTCTACCTGTGCCCTTTACTCTGTTTTCCCCATTCATCTTGTGGTCGTAGCAATCCCTCCCTTCCCTACCTTTTCGCTGCCCTTCTTGTCTCTCCGCCTCCTCCCTCCCTTGTTTATAGACCCTTGTGAATCCCAAACCATCACCCTTGATTTTCAGAGGCTCCCTATTTCCCATCCGTCTGCAAAAGTTTAACCCCTTCCATTTCCGGTACGCTGTAGAGTGGCTTTCGGGATTGACTCCGAGTCTGTCCAGGAATCCTGTGAAAGTGGCACTTGTGAAGCAAGAACTTTCTTCCCTTTCCCAGTTTTTAGCAGATGTGCTCCACAGTCCTACTCCCCGCCCCACCCCAACCCCCCCATTATGTGGGGGAGCATGAGGAAACCAGTCAATTCCTTTATTTTTCTTCCCTCCTTTCTAAACTCTTAGCCTTACTGCTTTAGGCCCTACTGAAATGTTTAAGCTTAAATCTAGAAGATTCTCTCTCCGGTATGGTACCTTTTGGTTTGCTCCCCCAGTTGGGTTGCGGGGACGGCAAACAAAGCAAGGTCTAGGTTGAACTTACACCAATTTATTCACATGGTTCATCTCTAACTGGTTTTATTGGATAGTAGTGTTGGGGCAAATTCTCTTTATGTGAACACTTAATATCACGTTATGGGACACTTAGAAGTTAGGGATAACAATTTCGATTTTTAGGTGGTTATTTTAGATACAAAGCGCTCAAAGTGCGCTCAAAACACTGGGATAAACTAAGGAATCTAGTTCTTGTTATTGATTCAAGTTTAACAATACCAGTTTCATTGAATCCTTCCCCTGTTTAATATCTTGAACATTTCCCTCCTTCTAGTCTGCAGATTCACTGAGCTTTACCAAGTTTACGAAAGTATAAAGTATTTTTGCCTAAGAGAAACTTTAGTCTCTTTGAAAACAAGGTGAGACTATAATCATACAGAATGCCTGGGTGACAGATTTTAGAAAGTGACACATTTGTTACAACTCTTCCAAATCCTCCTTGTGAAAAATGAAGAAAGCTGAGGGATAGAGAGAGAAGACGCAGTTGAAGGTCACAAAACCTAATCAAGCAAAGATGTGATCAGGCCAAGCCTATTCCTTGGGAGCCAAGGATGAAACTTGGAATAGAACCAGGGGTCTGCTGTTATGAGGGGGTCCTTCTAGGTTGTTAGACTCACAGAAGCCCATTCAATCAAGGATATCACCATAGCATGAAAGTGAGATATTCAAGCACTAAAAGCATCCTAAGAAACAAAGATACCTGCGTCCATAGTTGGTATTAGGGTCTGCCATAGTATTGGAGCCAAGTCACATACACAGGAAAGATAATGAAAATGATTCTAGAATGGTCTGTTCCAGTGGTTAGGACAAGGCGGTGCAGACAACACTGCCAAACCCAGGGGAGGTGATGGAGATGATACACATTTTACAGTTTGTTCTGTTCTTCCTACTCCTCCTCATTGCCCCCTTTTCTTCCTCCTTTCTTACAGACTGTGATAGTTCAAGGCTGTTTTCCACAGTGGGGCAGCGAGAGGGGAGGGGGAAATTGCCATAAGCTCCAGAATTATTTTTCTTAGATACTTTTTTTTTTAAACCTACCCCTCCTGCCAAAAATTTTTACCATGCTTGGAATGGCAGCAGGAAATCTAATCCTCTTTCTTCTTTCCTCAGAGGATATGGGAAGCTAAATTAGCAGCATTTATAGGAGTTGATGCTTCTGTCCTAGGCCTATCCTGCTTTTACATCTTGTCTCCTTCTGGCATGTTCTGGCTTCTTACCCCTTTCAAGATGGCTTTTGAAATGACCATATGTTTTCAGCCATTTCTTTTCTGGGAGAAGCAAATCATATGTGGGCAACATTAAGTTTAGGGAGTTCCTTTATTTGGGAGGTATATGTCTTTCTTTTTCCTTAATAGCCTACCATCCACCCATTCAAGCAACAAATTCCCCAAATTAAACCTGAATACTGCAGTTTTGAAATTCTACCTTGAGTTTAATCCCTGCAAAACAAATTTCACATAAAGTAGAAACCTGGTTAGTGAGTAGAAAAAAATGGTTTCTTAAGTTTGCTTCCTTTTTGTTACTTTATAAGAAAACTGTGGAGGTTGTCTAAGTGGTTCTTTTCTTTTTTTAAAATTTATTGTATTTTTATTTGCAAGACAGAGAGAAAGAGGGACAGAGAGACACTGGTTTACTCTCCAAATGCCTGCAATAGCCAGAGATGGGGCAATCTAAAGCCAACAGCCAGGAGCTTCTTCCAGGTTTTCCATGTGGGTGCAGGGTCTGAAGGACTTGGGCCATCCTCCATTGCTTTCCCAGACTACAAGCAAGATCGGAAGTGGAGCAGTGTGGACTTGAACCAGTGTCACAAGTAGAGAATTAGCCTGATACACCAGAACACCAGCCCCTAAGTAGTGTTCTTTCCTTTTTTCAAAGATCGATTTATTTATTTATTTATTTTTTAAAGATTTATTTTTATTATTTTTTATTGGAAAGGCGGATATACAGAGAGGAGAGACAGAGAGGAAGATCTTCCACCAGATGATTCACTCCCCAAGTGAGCGCAACGGGCCGATACTATGCCGATCTGAAGCCAGGAGCCTCTTCCGGGTCTCCCATGCGGGTGCAGGGTCCCAAAGCTTTGCGCTGTCCTCGACTGCTTTCCCGGGCCACAGGCAGGGAGCTGGAAGGGAAGCGGGGCTGCCGGGATAGAACCGGCGCCCATATGGGATCCCGGGCGTGCAAGGCGAGGACTTAACCACTTGCGCCACCGCGCCGGGCCCGATCGATTTATTTTTAATGGAAAGTGGGATATACAGAGAGGAGGAGAGACAGAGAGGAAGATTTTCTGTCCACTGATAGACTCCTCAAGTGGCTGCGATATCTGGAGCTGAGCGGATCCAAAGCCAGGAGCCAGGAGCTTCTTCCAGGTCTCCCATGCAGGTACAGGGTCCCAAGGCTTTGGGCTATTCTCGACAGCTTTCTCACGCCACAAGCAAGGAGCTGGATGGGAAGAGGAGCATCTGGGACAAAAACTCGTGCCCACATGGGATTCTGGTGCGTGTAAGATGAGGACTTTAACCACTAGGCTACCTTGTCGGGCCCAAGTAGTATTCCTGATAAGGGCTTTGTGATGATGTTTTTGTTTCTGTTTATGTGCTGTACTCGGGGATATTTCTGCAATCTTTATTAACCAAAAGAGACACGGCATTAATAGTCCATAGCCCCTGAAGTTCAATGCATAGAGTGTTCAAATTAGAGTCCCCAGGGACATTATTGTTGGCATGTCACTGGTACAGGTTCAGTGGAATGTAAGTTGCAGGGATGCAGCCTGTTTCATAACAAGTTAAATTTTCTGGGAGTGTATTTGAGGATTTTATTGCCAAATTTGTTTTGACTAGAAGTTTGCAAAATAGGATAAATTTCAGTAAGTCAAAAACATTAATCATCTTGACCAAACAAAACTGAAATGTCAGTGTGGAGTATATATACAGCGCTTACGATTTTTCTTTTTGGTTTTGGGGAACAACATTTTTCAGATATACATGGAATTTTCCTGTAAGCACTTCAGTCAGTGATTCTTCTCCTTCTTCTTCTTCTTCTTCTTCTCCTTCTCCTTGTTATGTTACAGCAGCCATGTCTAAACTACCATAATCTCACATGATGTATTATAGAGGTAGACTTTTGGCACAGCCATAAAGGTGCCACTTGGGGCAGCTGAACCCCATATCCTATGTTATAGTGCCTACAAGCAAGTCCTGCCCATACCTCCACTTGGAATCCAGCCTCTTTCTGATGTGACCCTGGGAGGCAGCAGATGATGGCTCAAGTAGTTAGGTACCTGCTGCGCACACGGGGGACATGGATGGATCCCCAGGCTCCTGGCTTCACCCACACCAAGCCCCAGCCTTTGTAGACATTTGGAAAGGAAAGGAACAACACAAATCCTTCTCTTTGTCTCTCTCTCTCTTGCTCTTCTGTCTCTCTCCTTCCCCTTTCTCTCCCTCCTTCCCTCCCTATCTTTAAGGTAATCAAAAGATATTTTTTGAAAAAGGATATTTATGAAGTTGGAAAATTATAAAAATATTGGGCAATCCTGTGATTAAGTAATAAGGGGAAGGAAATTATCATGGAATCGAGAAGTGTTATTCTGCTTTTAGAAATGCATCTGTACCTTGACATTGAACAATGATGAAAAACATGTGGGAGGATAGTGCCCTCTTCTGTACACCCTACTGTCAGATTATGAAATGAGCTGTATTGTATAAATCAGTTACTCAGTTTTGTGAATTTTGTGTTCTATTTTCAATCACCATTATAGAGAAAATCCCCTGGACTGTGTATCCCTCAGGTACTACCCACAGTTTCCTATCTAAAAATAGAATTGGAACTGCAAAAGAGCTATTGGAACCACGTTGAAAGAATCCAATTTCAGAACTTGTGAGACAAATTGTGAATGAGGGTCAGTCAGGCTTTGCCAGAATGCCTTTGCCAGAAATACAGATCAAGGAATAATTAATAGAAATTCCAGTGGGGTGATAAGAGTGAAGCCACAGGTTACACAGATTGAAAGGGAATTGAAGCTTCAGTACATTTAACAGTGAAAGGAAGGAGGAAGTACAATAATTTGGAAGGGAAGTAGGGAAGTAAGAATACCTTCACTGTTTTTGCTTCATTTGCAATTTTATTTTCTAAAGATTGAGATTTTAGCTTCTTGGAAGCAGGCTGCAGGAAAAGGAGCAGTTGAAAAATTAAAGAGGTGGGGGAGGTAAATTCAGAAGCCCAGGTGAAACAGTGGGGATTGGGAAGATGCAAAATGACCTCAGACATCCAGAGATGGAAGTGAGGAAGCTAGGGGTTGAGCCACCTGCCATACTTGTGTGGCCCTATGGGCTCTAGAAAAGTTGCCCAGTGCCTGTAGGAATTATTACAAGGAGTTAGTGTTGAATGCTAGTAGTGGGGGGTAGCTGGCTGTTCCCTGAGGATAAATGCATAGCATGGCTGTGGAGGGAGCTTCATGAGCTGCACTGTTGGGATTTGACTCAGTGGTGCTCATTGTCTGGGTTCTCATCCTGAGGAGTGCTGGGTAGGTCCTTTGGAGAGGGGAAGAGGGCTGCAGAGGAAGATGTGAAGAGTGCCAAAACAACCACTGGAAATCCTTAGTCTACATGTTCTTACTAAAACCCTTACAGAGGAATGTCCCTGGCTTTACTTTTTAATTAAAATTTGGGCAGCCAGCCTAGTTATTGAGTTAAACACTATTTCATCAGAATTCCTTATAGCATTTTTCTTGAAAGAACGTCTCCTTTGAGAGCAATCTCCTAGTTTATAGGCAGAAACTGTAGTGTTGGGCAGCTCTGTGTTGGTGGAATAAGAAGTGAGGGTAGGCAGACTGGCAGAGTTCCATGATACAAGCTCATGGTGGACTCTCATTGTAAACTTGGAACTGGCGATAATCTAAATGAGGGGATATTTAAAAAGCTATCAAGGCGGCTACTCTTGATCACTTTCCATGGAGGTGCAGATACTGTTCTTTTAATGTTCTTCCTATGTCCTATATCATTTTTCAAAATCCACATCAGGCTGTAGGTACCATTTGTGACTTATCTATTTTGCCCATCTTGTTGCGTGTTTTCCTTTGCACTAAATATTCTGAAACTATTGATTTTTCAGGATTATGAAGTCCATCATTCAACCGTATCCTTGAACTACTCCCCATGGTTTGGAGGCATTTATTTTCATTCTTTTGCCTTTTACAAATAATACTGTTTGAATGTGTTTGTACATACATCTTTTTTCCCCAAAAATTGCTCCTAAGGAAGGGAATAGATTCCTAGAAGGGAAATTACTGGTGCCAGATGAATGAACCTTTTTAAAGCTTTTGCTATACAAATACTACCAAATTACATTTCAGAAAGATTATGTCAGCTTACATTCCCACCAGCAATGGATAAAATTACTTCCTAGTTTGTTCTTTTTTACTTTGCCTTAAAGTAGTAATTAATTTTTATAAATTGGCAGAAATAGAATTTTAAAAAATCCTTAGTAGTGAAAAAATGCTCTCTTTCTATTAGGTAGACTATTTCAAGGATGAGCCCAGTTTGGCACAGAAAATTAAAAATTAAGGACTTCTGACAATATTCTGATATTTTATATATGCATGAATTTGAAACAGTAGGGGATGTGCTGATTTTGACTAACAGGAGAGCAAAACACAAAGCAAATGTACTACTCCTTTGTCAGTGAAGCTGAAAAGAAATTTTAATTAAAAACAATTATTATCTAACAGTTTTTCCTAGCGTACTACATACTATTTGGAACATAGAAGATACTGAATAAATGTGGAATGGGTGAATAAAGGAAAACAGCCACTTCTAATTTGAAGACATAAGGAAAAGTAGTTTATTTAAGACACAATGTGGCTATGGTTTACTATCTAGAGAGAACTTCACTGTTCATAGCTTTTTTTTTTTTTTTTTTTTTTTTACTTGAGAGGTAGATTTACAGATAGCGGAGATTCACAGATAGAGAAGGAGAATCAGAGTGAAGTCTTCTACCCGCTGCTTCACTCCCCAAATGGCTGCAATGTCCAGAACTGGGCTGTTCTGCAGCCAGGAGTTTCTTCTGGGTCTCCCATGTGGGTGCAGGATCCCAGAGACTTGAGGTAATCCTTCTCTGCCTTCCCAGGCCATTATGAAGGAGCTGGATTGGAAGTGGAGCAGCCAGGACTTGAATTGGCTTGTATATTTTTGCTGGCATTGTAGGTGGAGACTTAACCTACTAAGCCACAGTGCTAGCCCTATTGTTCATAGTTTTTATTGCAAGAGCTAGAAATGATAGAAATAATGATAAGGTATTTTGGGACTCTTTGGAAAATGAGAACTTTTGAATTTTAATTAACCATATAAAATAAAGGAGGAATTAAAAAGAACACATCATTTAAAAATAAACTGAATTTAATGAAGGATGAGAAACAACATAATAATAGAGATATAAGAAGCCTTTCTTCAGGAAATCATTTCGGTAGGTTATTAGTATCCAAAACACTAAATAGTTTGAAGATTAATTCCCTATGCTAAGTATAAAACAGTGAAGATTATCTCATTAATAGCTTGCAATTAGAAATTTACAAGTGAAAATTGAAATATTTCAAAACAAAAATTAAAAAGAACTCACACAAAAAATCCTTACCGTGAGTACTATAGGCCAAGTGTTATGACCTTAGTACATAAAGAACTCAAGCTGTAGTGGAAACATTCACACCTAGAAAACACTGAGCAAAAGAGCTACTAAACATTTAAAATTCTGACCTTACTGTTAAAGCAGTAATACTTGATGGCAAATTTTTTTGTTCCATCAGATACAGAGCTTTCAACAAAATTTTTAATGCTGTTGAAGTTGTAGAGATGAGCATTTTAATATATTGTCTTAGAGAAGAGACAACAGTATTTGATTAAAGACAACATGACTCTTAAAAGCATTCATATATCCTCTGACTCGACTTACTTTTATAGCAGTCTATCTTGAGAGAACTTATGTTTGAGTAAATAATTATTAACAAATATCTTAATGTTAGAAAAAATTGAAACAGCCTACATATATGTTATTGGGAGAATAAGTTGGTGAGTTATTATAGGTAGCAAAATAGTTTTTAGGTAATATGAAGTTTGAGCCTATCCCTGTTTCAAAAACCTGAAATGTGAAATATTCCAAAATCTGAAACTTTTTAAAAAATTTACATTTACTAGAAATATGTAGAGAGAGAGAGAGCTTCCATCAGTTGGTTCACTCCCCAAATGACCACAGTGGCTGGATCAAAAGCCAGGAGGCAGAAACTTCTTTCAGGTCTCCCACACAGGTGCAGGGTTCCAAGGCTTTGGGCCGTCCTTGACTGCTTTCCCAGGCCACAGGCAGGGAGCTGGATGAGAAGCAGAGCAACCAGGACATGAACCAGCTTCCATGTTCTGGGATGCTGGCATTGCAGGAGGAGGCTTAGCCTACCACGGTGCTGGCCCTCAAAATCTGAAACTTTTTGAGGGCCATCATGGATGGTAGTACCATAAATGGAAAATTCCACAGCTGGCTTTGTATGACAGGTTCAGTCAAAATGCAAGTACAGTCAAAGTGTTGTATAAAATTACTTTTATGTGTGTGTGGGCAAAATTTTATGAAACACAGATAAGTTTTTGGTTAGTGTTCTCCAAGATATTTCATATAGATATGCTAATATTCCAAGTTGAAAAAACATTAAGAAACAGAAATCCAAAATACCTCTGGTCTAAAACATTTCAGATAACTTATGTTCAACCTGTGGTTAAGAAAATATTCAGTGAAAAAAAAACAGATAATAAAATATAGGTACTTTATAAAGTGCTAATTTTGTAAAAATACAAATTCATAGAAAAAGATAGCAAAATGCTACGGATTAGCTCTTAATGGATAATTGACCCTTTTGCTGTTCTTCACCCCTTTGTTATTTATTTCAGGTTTTTTTTTTTTTGCATTGATCCTTACAGCGTTACCATGTTAACTTTAAATACAGCAAACATTTCTTGTATTTGTGTTCTTTTCTAGTGCTTTCCTTTACCTTGCAGTGGCTCCCTTCTTCCTTCAGTTCAATAATAACTACCATGTATTAAGCACATTTTATGGGTATTAAGTGGTTTGTGCACATTCTCCTCTAACCTTCAATAATTCCATTTTTAAAGTTGGGATAGAGGTTTTTGTAAGGTCCTGATTTGCTGAAGATCAAATAGGTAGCAAGTGACAGAAGAAGAATTTAAACTCATTCTGACTCCACAGAGTTTACAAATAACCACTATGCTATTTTGTTTATAGATGTAGGTGTTACTTTATTCCTAACTTCAATACATTCCTTTGAAAGTATTTTATTGTAGATTTTAAGACAGCTATGAAAGTATACTCATCGCATAGTTTAAACAGTTATTCATACGTGAGATCATGCTTCATCTGTACCCCCTAGCCCATTCATTCTTCAGCACCTTCTCTATTATTTTGAAGTAAATCACAAACATGTTTCACTCATAAAGATTTTACTATATTTCTTTAAAAGCTATAGGTTTCTTTAATACATTATCGTATCTAAAAATAAATTCGTTGTATGTGTCATAAATATTCATATTAATATCTTGGAATTGTGTGGATTCTATAGTTGTGATTGTTCTTATGTTGTATTTTTAAAGGTGGAACCTGACTTCTTGTGGAACAAGTGTTGCCAGCTCAGAATGCAGTGAGGAGCTATTTTCATCAGTTTCTGTTGGAGATCAAGATGACTGCTATTCCCTGTTAGATGATCAAGATTTTACTTCTTTTGATTTATTCCCCGAGGGAAGTGTATGCAGTGATGTCTCCTCTTCTATCAGCACATATTGGGATTGGTCAGATAGTGAATTTGAATGGCAGGTATGTTTTTTTTTTTTTTATTGGCATCATTGCTAAGTATGTAGCGGTATAATTTCCCTTTTGATTTTCTCATTTCTACCTCAAAGCAAATTGGCCTAGTATTTATCCAGCTCTGGAAACTCTCAGACTTGTTTGAGGATTAATAATTAAAAGGAATATGTATCCTTTATTTTTGCTATTGTACCTTTAGGATTCTGATACTGTCATATCGTTTTGTAGATTTTCATGTAATTTCATACATATTATATATAATCAGACCCTTCCTACCCTTGAATCCAAGCAAATTTACTTTATAACAAATAGCCTTCATATCCTCAGGATATACACTGGCATCAGGTTATAAATCTAATATCATAAATCACTCTTACTACTACCATGTAACTTCGGTTCTGGTATCAGAAACACAATGTGAGTTCTCATCTTGTCTCATGTATGTAGAGATGTTTATTTTCATAGCATATATATTTTGTAAAATGATTTTATGAAAACGCTGAAAATGTGATATATTGACTGCAGTGTGTCACAAAATAAAGACTATTTTATTGCAACATCCATTTTCTGATTGTACATGATAAAAATAAAGAAGCTTTATATATGATAAATGTTTTATTCAACAGATGAGCTTGAATAGTTACCATGTTTGAAAAAACCATCTAAATAGTAGAAAGTATATTCTAAAAGAATGCTACTTTATTTCAAATCTTTTTTTATTAAAATATCAAATAACACTAAATGATATAATTTTTTAAAAGAAGTTTCCCCAAAGTCCCTCTTCACTGTGGTTACCACCGTTAAGAGCTTATGTATATACAGGCATATTTCCCTTTTAGAAATATGTTAATGGGATCAATATTTCATCTACTATTTGGTCCTATTTCTTTTTCACAGATATATCTTGTGCTTTTTTTATAGTTGCATTATGATTTAACCAGCTTCATAATGGTGATTATTTAGGTTGATTTCTTTTTTCTTACAAAAAATGTTGTGCTGAAAACTAAGACAAGGTATAAAGGAAAAGAAAATTCTAACCCTTGTGTTTCTGCTTTGTTTATTTTGTTTCAACTTGCATGCTATAATGATTATAAATATGTTTTGGGTAAAAATGTGTAATCTTTTAATTAAAAAAATAAGATTTAGGCTGGTACCATGACATAGTAAGCTAAGCTTCTACCTGAGGCACTGATATCCCTTATGGGTTCAGGTTCATATCCTAGTTACTGCACCTAAGATCCAGCTCCCTGCTTGTGAAATGGGGAAAGCAGTGGAGGATAGCCCGAGTGTTTGGACCCCTGTGCCCATGTGGGTAACCTGGAAGAGGCTTCTGGCTCCTGGCTTCAGATTGGTCCAGGTCAGGCTGCTACAGCCATTTGGAGAATGAACCAGTGGATAAAAGATCTTTCTATCTCTTTTCCTCTGTAGCTCTTCCTTTCAAATAAGAATAAAATGAATCTTTTCTTTAAAAAAAAACTGAGGCATAATTGACCATTTTAATGATTTTAAAATATAGAACTCAGTGGTTAGTATATCCATAATATTGTGCAGTTGTTAGTTACGGTTATCTGATTTCAGGATGTTTCTATCCCCAAAGAATACCCCATGAGAACATAGTTCCAGTCTCCCCCGAGCCTGTCAGCTGGTAACCGCTAATGTGCTTTCTCTATGGATTGCTTTTCTAGATGTTTTCTATAAATGGACTCAGAATGCACAGCCTCTTGCGCCTGTCCTCTCTAAGTTTGCATTATATTCCAAAAGTTCATGTTGTAGTATATCAAAACACTTCATTCCTTTATTTTTTATAAAATTTATTTTATTTTTTGAAAGGCAGAGTTAATAAGAGAAAGGTGGAGGAAGAGAGAGTGGTCTTTAAAAATCTTTATAAGACTTTTTGAGTTTTGTAGGTTGTCTTTTTTAAAAAAAATGTTTAAAAGTCAGAGAAAGATCTTGCATCCATTGGTTTACCTCCTAAATGGATGCAGTGACCTGGGACTGGGCCAGGTCAGACCAGTTGCCAGGAGCCAAGAGCTTCTTCCAGGTCTCCCAGGTGGGTGGCAGCAGCTCAACCATGTTCCTCTGCTTTCTCAGGTATGTTAGCAGTGGGCTAGATAAGAAATGGAACAGATGGGACTCAACCAGTGCCCACATGGGTCATGGCTTAACCTGCTATGCCAGGACAGCAGCTTCTTGGGCTGTCTTTTTTACTTGATGGTGCCAGTCACTTGATAGTGTACTTTGATACACACACACACACACACACACACACACACTTGTAATTTTTAGCAAGCTCAATTTATTTACTTTTTGTTGCTGTGCTTACAATGCCATATTTTAAAAGCAAATGCCTACCTTAACCAGTGTGAAGATTTTCACCTGTTTCCTTCTGAGAACTGGGTTTCTTACATTTAGATGTTTGATACATTTTGCTATTTTTTGTATATTGTATGAAATAGGGGTTCAAAATTGTTCTTTTGCATGCACATATCCAGTTGTCATGACATCACTTTATTGAAAAGGCTATTCTTTCCTCATGGAATGATTTTGGCATCTTGCCAAAAATGAATTACTTGCAGGTGTAGGGATTTATTGTGGGATTCTCAGTTCTATTCCACTGATGCACATGTGTATACTCACGGAGCATAACACTTCTGATTACTGTAGCCTTGCAGTAAGTTTTGAAATTGAGAAATAGAAATCCTCCTATTTTGTTCTTTGTACAGATTGTTTTGATTGTTTGATGTCTCTAACAGTTCCATATAGATTTTAGCATCAGGTTTACCATTACTGCAAAAAGAGCAGTCGGAATTTTGATAGTATCTACATTGAATCTAGATCACTTTAAAGGGTTTTGCCAACCTGACAATGGGACACAGACAGTATTCCAATCCATGAGGAAAGGAGGGAATGTCTTTATGTGTTTCTTTAATTCTTTCGCTGTTATTTTTGCAGTTTTCAGTGTTAAAGCCTTAGGCAGAGATACTTTAGAAAGTTCATGGAAAGTGGTTGAAAGTTTATTTTTGGTACAAAATAATTTAAATTCAAGTATATCCTTTTTTATATAATATGCATTTTCCATGTATATGTTGAAGTTTCCTCATACTGCCTTAGTGAAATTTAATCCTGACTATCCTATTCTTTTTGAGGAATGTATCAATGGTATTTTCTTAATTTCATTTTTATTTCTTATTGTTAGTATATATAGATATACAGTTGATTTTTAAATATTATAAATTCATTTGTTAGCTTTGATTTTTTTTTTATATTAAGTTGTCTGAGAAATGCTTTTCCTCCTGATGCTGGGAGGTTTTCTGTCATTGAATCTAATGTTAGCTGTATCATATCAAGGAATTTCCCTTCTATTTCTAGTTTGTTTGATGTGTTTTTTTTTTTTATCATGAAAGGATGTGGGATTTTGTCAAATGCTTTTTCTGAGAATTTGAGATGATCATGTGACTTCTTTCATTGTATAAGGTACTATATTGATTAACTTTCATATAGTGAAACACCCTTGCATTCTTAGAATTTCTAAGTCTTAATTGGTCATATGTTTAACCTTCTAATGTGCTTCTGGGTGCAGAGTTTTCAAACATTTTGTTGAGAATGCTTACACACTTGCGTCCCTATTCACCAGGGATATTGGTCTATAGTTCTCTTTAATTCTCGTCTAGTTTTGATATCAGGATAATGCTTGAACTCACAGAAAGAGGTGGAAAGTATTCCTTCTTCTTTATAAAATTTTGTAGTAAGATTTTCATTTAAATATAAAAAATTTTTCACGATCCTTCATAACGAATATGTTAATGACTACATAGTATCCCTGCCACTGGATGTGCTAGAATTTGTGAAATCATTCCTCTGTTTATAATCTGTTTCATTTTTTTCTGTTATACATGATAGCGGTTAGCAGTTTTGTATGGATATTATTTTTTTTTCAGTGCCTCGTATATCAAGTGAATACTTTATATTTAAAATCAAATTACAAATGCAATCAGATGAAATCCTCCCTTATTCTGAGAAATATCTTTTCCTCTTATTTCTTGTGATTTCTTTACTGTTTAGATTTTATATATAATGTTGAAGATAGCATGCATTTGTAAGTTGTGGTTGCTGAATTAGTTCATGAGTAGGTAGAGTAGAAAGCCTGTCCTAACCACTAACTGCTAATGAGCATGAATGACTACACTTTGAACAAAAATCAGGGCTGCTTTAGTAATGTATTTTGCCACCTCTGAAATTGGGTATGGGTACTCTGTTACCATGGATATTCGTTATTTAAATACGCTGAAAGGTTTAAATGCAGTCTTGTCTTTGTGGGACCTCATCATGATGAGCAGTACATTATCCAAGAAGATAATTACAAATTATATGTTAGGATTAATAGACTAAAAATCGTGTAGTTCTAGCTTAAAAATGTGCATTACCTCTGTTGTAAAAACTCCATCTCCATAAATCTTTCTTTTTAATAGATGTTTTTGCTACAGCTAAAGTAAATGTAAATGATTCATACATCCTCTGGAAAGGAAGCGAAATTTCACTAACTACATGCTGAGGCAAGGTTTTTAACCTTAAGATAAAGGAGAATTTTAGCATTTGAAATAATATTAAAGCCTTTTTGCTTTGCTGATAGTCTTCTTTGCTTGCAGTCCTTTTATTATTGTTAGAGCTTGAGAAATTATTTCCATTGCTGATCCAGGAAAGCTTATATATAAAATTAAAAAAAAGTGAGTAATTCAGCTGTCATACTTGAAATGTAGAGGTACCATCTGAAATTACACATCAGCTATTACAACAATGAGCTTACTCGTAAAATTCTGCTGCACTCTGCAGAAAATATGGCACAGGTTTGATTTAATTCTCCCTGTGTGTCACAATTACTGATTATAATATAAATATGACAAATACTGTTCATGAAAAATACGAGAAACATTAAGCATTTTTATTCCGATGTATATTGCCAGTTGTAACCTGGAAAATTACTGGTGCAATAAATACACCAGAAGCCGTAG